CTCTTTCCTTGTGATTCAGACATGCCATACATTTTCAGCGATATTTTTCCTATTGACAGTTTTCCCAAGGGAATAGCTTCTCGGTAATCCCTAAGTGCCTGGGATCAGACTGTCAAGGCTGGCAGCCTACCAGATTTACAAGTTTACCCAGCAACCATAAAGATGACAGGCTGTGATGTCTCTGCCGTTGTAACTGTGTTTCTTGTTCTCCCTCCCTCTGGCCACATACTCAGGGCGAGGGAGTGCAGTGTGGACAGGACTCCTCTGCTTTTCACCGTGTCCAGCCTCTTCAAGAAAGCTTAGCATATAACAGGGTCTCGGTAAATATTTGTTGAATGAGCCAGTAACTCCATGGCCTGCAGATGGAAATCTCTCTGCCTAATGTAGAGTTTAGCTGAGGAACAAAAATCTACTTCAACAAAACACGAAGCCTGGCCCTCACAACCTGCCCGCTGGGGCCCTTGATCATGTTATAGACTTAGATTTGGGTCCTGAGTTCTGAAGGCACCTGTTGAAGTTGCCAGGTTCTTGTGTTCTGGGAGAAATAATTGCGTTGTGTGATATTTTGTTTGTGTTCTGACAAATAAAGCTTGCTTGGAGTCAGAGGGTGGTGCTAGCCACTAGTTAACCATAGAGGTTTGGAGGACTGTAGCGAGAGGGACAGGAAGTGGTAAGGCGGGCTGAGACAGGATTTCAGCCCTTTTGGTTGGAGGAAAAGAAGAGGTAGGAAGTCTGCTTCTCTGACTCCAAGCAAGCTTTATTTGTTAGAACACAAACAAAATATCACACAACATAATTGCATCAGGGACACATAATTAACAATAGAAATAGGGATAGATGATTAAGAGAAAGACGTTCCTGAGAACGGGAGTGACCTAATGAGCTGTGGGAGAAGGCTTCCATGTTAAAAAACAAACAAACAAACAAACAAAACAAAAAAACCCCAACAGTGGGTTTCTAGTGTTATAGCCCTTTATGGGTAATTTTCATAGCACTTACCTCTCCTGTGGTTGTATATTGCATATGTATATGGCCGGCAGGCTTTTCTTGAACATGCTTTGCTATGGCATGGGGGTTGGGAGGCATTTCCCATCCTTTGCCATCGGGCTTCTTGCACATGTTAATCTTGGTGCTGCTCTCTCCAGGCCTTGCTTTCCTCCAGTAGTTTTTCTTGTGTCTTCAGAGGTGGAAAAGGTGGGGCCTCTCATCCTGTCTGATGATCCTAATCAGGACACTACTGACGCTAGGACACAGGACACTAGCCAATGAGCTCCACAAAGGAGGCTAAACCCTGGGGGCCCCAACTTCTGTCAGCAGGAATCCCCTTCACTGCCAGCCTCCAGCTGGTGTGGTCTGGCATGGCAGAGGGGTGTTGGGTGGAAATAGGGTTCCCTCCTGACCTTCAGACGCTTGTGTGAATCTAGTGAGTCACAAAAGGCCTGTTTTAAAAATGGACTTCATTAAAGGTCAAGAGAGACAAACTCCAAACCAAGCAGCTGTGTGGGCTTAGCAGTTCTTACGCCCTAGTGAGCAAAAGTCACCTTGACACTTTAAGAGAAGTGTGAATCTCTGGATCCCCTCACTGAACCCAAATGTCTCAAAGTGGGCCCCTTTGGACATGTTAAAAAAACACAACTCTCAGCTCAAAGAGTCTAAGACATCATTTATTCTGGAGCCAAATATGAGTGGCCATGGTCCAGGAACACAGATTCAATCTACCTCAAATTCCATGTTCCAAAGTGGTAACTGTTTCACGAAGTTTTTTTTAATTTATTTTATTTATTTACTTATACATTTTATAATGACAGAAAAAAGAAAGTCATAAATCAAGATGGTTTTCAAATACATTTAGTGGGAACATCAGGTGGGTGAGTTACAGTCAAACAAGGAAACCTCTGCCGTAGACCTCAGATGTCGTCCAATGACATTCTTAGCCTTTTGGTTGGTGCAAGCAACTGGTCTGTTGAGTAAATACATTGTAAATGGTTGCACCTGTCGGCCCCAAAGATATTAGGCCAGACACAGAGGTAGGTGTGGAATAACTATTCAAAGGGGCTCCAAATGGCCAATGATACATTTTCACTGGGCTCTGGATCTGCAGCACTCCAATCCCTCTACAATCACTGCCTTCTAGAAGGGGTAGTGGCAGGTGTAATTCTTTCCGGGAACTTTTGTTCACAGTCATTTTGTGTTTTGCCAAGTTCCCAGTGGTCACGGAGCACATTCTCATGAACACTGCCCCCCCCCGCCAGCTGGCAATATGCCAGGGTGAAGAAGCACAAGGACATCTCTGTGTGGGGCTCCCAAAGTGGAAGAACCCCAAGACCGCCCTGTCCCCGGGCTTGTTTTGAGGGTGAGAATTAATCCCCAGAAGGTAACGGAGCACTTCATAAAAGCACAAGAGGCATTCCGTCAAAGCCAGAGACATTTGAAACCCTGGCTAGGTGCTGACCAGCCTTGCTGTCTAATGTGGGATGGGGAGCAAGGAAGACTCACATTTTATCACAATGCCTCATTTTCTTCCTGAGTGTACAAATTGTGGGGACTGTAGAGTGAAGAGGAAAAGTAGCAGGTTAAATAATAATAATAATAAATCTCTTATGCGTTTGGCTGTGAGTTAACTGCTTTGTTTATTACAGCCACTGTCAGGCTCCTGCAAGAGCCCAGGGCCCCACAGAGCTGGGACTGTCTCCTGAGCCACCTCCACCTGCACAGTGGAGCAGGCAGGTCCTGAGTGGTATGGGAACCCCTAGGGAGCTCCATTTTCACAGGTGGGGGCTGTTACGATTTAGTAGCTGAAAAATGACTTTCAGCCAGCAACTTACATTTCCTGCGAATCAATTCGCAAGAACAACAGTGGTGTGAACACGCAGAGGATATGTGAGGATTAATAGTGACAGCTGATGAAATAAATGCCTAGCTCCGTGGCCGGGGGCCAACAGGAAAGCGCGGCCGTCCTGATTGCTCGCATCCTGGTGTTCTGGTTGTCAGGCGCGTTGAGAGGGTTCCAGTCAGTTCACTGGGCACCTGCTGTCCTTGTCTCTATCACAAACAGGTGGCTCTAAATGCCCCGAAGAATGAGAAGCAATCACGTAATCATGCAATAGTTAAGCCTCTATCCTTCAATTAGGGAACTGAAAGAACTGAAGGAGAACATTTTAAGCCATTTTGATGAGTTAAACTTGCCCAAACTGTGAATGATGCTGATGACTTTAAAATCACTTCCTCTCTGGAGATGCAGGATTTAGGAGACTAGGCCCCGCACCCCATCCTACAGAACTGGTAATGTGGCTAAGAGAGACTGGGCCTGGGCCAGTCCCGGCAACTGAAGTTAGTAAGGACCACTCACATGGTTAAGACATTCGGTTGGCTCTCTTCCTTCAGGATAGAGGGAACAGACTGGCACATCAGGCCAGTAGACACAATGTCCTTCACATTTCTGGTTAGAAGTGCCCCCCTAGACTGCAACCCACCATCTCTAGTCCCACCCCAATCCACCTGGGCTTCAGTCCTCAGTACCAGAAAACAAAAACCAACCAGCAGGGGACCCTCGACGCCCACAGTGACCTGTAGCTCCAGTGTTTTGTGTTTCTTGCAGATAACCAAGGCATCACGAAAGAGGCTCACGGTGAGCCTGGCGTACTCCGAGAGCCACCAGATCCGAGTGTCCCAGCAGGACTACCGACTCTTCCGCACCCTCTTTCTGCTCATGGTCTCCTTCTTCATCATGTGGAGCCCCATCATCATCACCATCCTCCTCCTCTTGATCCAGAACTTCAAGCAGGACCTCGTCATCTGGCCGTCTCTCTTCTTCTGGGTGGTGGCCTTCACGTTCGCCAACTCCGCCCTAAACCCCATTCTGTACAACATGTCACTGTTCAGGAACGACTGGAGGAAGATTTTTTGCTGCTGCTTCTTCCGAGAGAAGGGAGCCATTTTTACAGACACATCTGTCAAGCGAAATGACTTGTCTGTTATCTCCAGCTAACTAGTGGAGCCAGGTGAACCTCTGTGTGCGTGTAAAGGGGAAGTCACTGGTGCACCCTGCTTTAAGGAAATCCAACTTCCAACAGCACACATCTACAGGGCCAGCAAATTGAGGAATGATCACTCGGTATAAAAATGCTTTTCCTTAAAACTTTCTATGGGTTCCTTTTTATGAACATTTTTTAGTGTTTGTAATACGATTGAGTTAATAAATTTTTATTTATAACTGTTCCTACATAGAAAGCTGTACCTTGTGGTTTGCTGAAACAGACTTTGGAGCTGATTCAGGGTTCAGGTTTCTCAGTCAAAGGTCATAGCCACCCCAAGTCCCTACCTTGGGCACATAAGGTCTTGAGACCATTTATTCATTCGTGTCAAGACTGCTTAAGGAATTTCCAAGGAACAATTAGATGTGGCCTCCCCCCCCCCATGTATTAAAAATGGGCAGGAGACATGGCTCAATGGTAGTATGCTTGCCTGGCAAGCGTGTGGCCCTGGGGTCAATCCCCAGTATATTAAAAAAATAGAGACGCAGCACTGTAGACTCAAAGAGGGGAGGATGGCCCCTGATGCTGGAGAGGGAGGTCATGCGGTTGCTTTATTACTCTATCTATCCACCAGAGGCCTTGGAAACACCTGCTGTGGCTGTGCAATGGTTTTTTGTGTGCCAGGAATCCAAGCCAAGAGCCCTGGCTCTGTTCTCAGGGAGCTCGCCTTTTCATGGGGTGGGGGCCAATGAATGCCAAACAGGAGTCAGTGAATAATAGATCACCCCAGAGTGCATAAGCACCCTGGAGAAAGTAGGACAGGGTGCTATGGGGGTGATGGTTATTTATATGGGGTAGGGGTAGGTCAGGGTGCTGTGGGGGTGATGGTTATTTATATGGGGTAGGGGTGGGTCAGGGTGCTGTGGGGGTGATGGTTATTTATATGGGGTAGGGGTAGGTCATGGTGCTGTGGGGGTGATGGTTATTTATATGGGGTAGGGGTGGGTTCAGGAAAAACTGAGGAGCAACAGTTGAATTGAAAGGCTAAAGGCAAGAAAGAAGCAGTCACGTGGATCCAGAGGAAGGACCTTTGCAGGAAGAGAGAGGCTGCTGAGCTGTGTGGTCCAGGAGCTGCAGACGGTTGACTGAGCCTTCTTTGTACTTGATGCTAGGAGAGAGAGGTGCTCCCCTGGAGCCCATCATGGATGCAATGAAGTTCCAGGGCTAGGTCGGGGAGGGCCTGGCAGGCCAGCAGAAGTTCACTCGGGGCTCAATGGGTAGCACTGGAGGTTTGCAATGGGAGACCTGAACAATGAGGGCTTTTCCCCTGGCTACTCTGCAAGGCAGAGGCTTTAAGGAGCAAGAATAAAAATGGAGAGCAAAAATGGTGTAGCTGCCTGAAGGAGAAAAAGGTGATGGGACCTTGAAGGGTCCTTAGTGAAGGACCGTGTGAACTAATCCCGGGCTATGCCTGGGAAGGTGGGAGAACAGTTTATTTATGGAGGATGGAGACGAGGGAAGACAGCATTCCAGGGGTGCCTCCTGGACTTCAAGCCTGACATCGGTTAGATGCAGTGGGGCAGGTGAAAAAACTGAGGAAGACTGGGAAACGAATGGGGTTCCATCTGGAGCATATGCTTGAGATCCCAGCGAGACAGCCATAGACCAGGCCACTGGAGGAAGAGACACAGAATTGGACCTGGCGACACAGTGTTGTTGGGAAACACAGATGTGTGCAGGGACCCGTGGTTTTACGAAACAGTCTCCGAGAAGATGCAGAAAGGAAAGACACCAGAGTCGAAGACTGAGGCCCAGGGTATGCCAACCGGTAGGTCTGAGGTAAGATTTATGGTGAGCGTGACATTAAAGACAAAGCAACAGATGTCTTTGTTCCTATCTGGCTAATAGATTTGGGGGATGCTCTGTTTGGAAGGGATGCGTGAGTATCTCGGGTCTGCGGTGTCAAACTGAAGCTGAGGAGCCGGGCTCGGCAGCTTGCTCTTTGGGAGTGAAAAGCTGGGCTTTTCTTGTGCATGGCTACTTGCTTCCTCTGCCTTTGCCGGAGAACAAGGCACATGGGCATTTGGTGTGAGCTCCCCATGGTCCTTAGAAACGTCGGCACCCCCACCTCCAATACACTTCACAGATGTCCCGAACAGCTCCTTTGCGTGCTCACAGACATTGTATTGGCTCTCACTCTGTCCCGACAGGCAGGGATTGATGGCTTCCCCAAGTTTAATGAAAGAGGCCACACCATCAGCCCCAAATCTCACAGCTCTGAACTGGCTTGGACTTAAAACCAAGGTCCTCTGCTACCAAGGCTGTTTGCTCTTCAGTTTTGCCCCCATCTGAAATACAAAACGAATCAGCCTAGAAGCAATGAAGAGCGTGCTTCCTAGAGTTCATTCTGACCCACGTTCCGCAGCCTCCTAGCTCTGGATAGAGGTGAGTCTTCTGTCCTGCTCACCTCGGGGGCCCTGGGCTGACAGCCTTGGGTTTGATGGCCTGGTCACACTTACTTCCTCTGGGTTTCAGTCCCTTGGTAGTGCTGCTGTTAAGGCCTTTCTGGATTAATGAGGAAACATTTTTCAGGATGCTGGGAACCAGTCTCTTATATGGAGATCAGGGATGTCTAGATCAGGTCAAAGGTCACAGAGAGTGGGAAGAGAGAATGTCTTGGCAACCATAAGTGCAACCCACTGCAACCGGACCACAAATAAGTCTTCAACTCATAGGAAGATGGTGACTATATGTTTAATAAATCGAGTCTAGAGTCTCAAGCCTCAAACGGTCTCTCTGGGAACTTCAATAAGATATACATTTGTGTGAACAGATTCAGTCATTCCCACGTATATTTTTATCCCACCGATGACAGTTTAATGTCCAGCTAGAGAAGGTAAGGAGAGGTAGGAAACTAAACTTCTAAGATAAATAGAGGTGAAGACTGGATGAGAGTTAATCAGAAGGTGTCGAATGAAGCTTCGCATCCTTGACGTCGCTACAAACTGTTTCTCGAGGGTATGCTTTGGCAGTAGCCTGAAATGCAGAAAATCAAACCATGAATGACAGACGTGGACAGTGCTTTTGTATATAAATGAACACCCAGGCGGCCTTAGAGCCAGCAGCCATTCAGATGCTCCTGTGTGGCTGAACGTCACCAATTCTCTCACAGCTGACACTGACGCTCTTTCAGTTCTCCAGGGAGCAGCATGGAGCACAGGGCCTGGGGTATGAATCCATTTCCGTTTATCCCGACCTCACCACATCTCCAAGGGCCGTGAAGCCCATCCTCCTAACGCCAGCCTGACCTTAGCTCTCTGTTGTAGCTTCAAGGTCTTCATGATGTCCCTGTTCTGTGTCACCAGGAGGCACCACAAGGGACTTCAGGGGTAACAGAAATCTGAGTTTGCATTCAGCTTAGCTATCTACTGGAGACCTTACGCAGTGTACTTAGCCTTCCTTAGCCTTCATTTTTCTCATTGGTAGAATATGTATAGCTAATATTTTTACTTTATAAAGCGTGTCCAAGGTCGGGAGGCAGAGGCAGGTGGATCTCTGTGAGCTCGAGGCCAGCCTGGTCTACAGAGCAAGTTCCAGGACAGCCAAGGCTACACTGAGAAACCCTGTCTTGAAAAAACAAGAACAAACAAAAAAACAAACAAGAAAAAAAAAAAAAGAGAAAAGGAAAGTATGTCCAAGGGTTAACTGAGGTGACTTAGGCGAAAGGCTCAGTGTAGTGCTTAGAGGTGACATAATCCTTCACTAACCCCACCTTCAGCCTCCCCACCACCCCAGGGTGGCACTTTGATATCCGTGTATGTATCTGAGCTCACATTGTTGGTGTACTGGATCACTGAGATGCCCAAGAACAACGCTCTTTTTCTACACTTCGGCATGGCCCTTTTTGGATTTTGAGGCCCAAGCGCCCAGAGCAGTGAGTGCACATCATTTCAAAACGGAGAGCACACGTCTCCACCATGCTTCTGAGTTGTTGTTTTTTTGTTTGTTTGTTTTGTTTTTCAAGACAGGGTTCTCTGTGTAGCTTTAAAGCCTGTCCTGGAACTCGCTCTGTAGACCAGGCTGGCCTCGAACTCACAGAGATCCACCTGCCTCTGCCTCCCGAGTGCTGGGATTAAAGGCGTGCGCCACCACTGCCCGGCGCTTCTGAGTTTTAAATTAGGATCAGTTAAGTACAATAGCTATTCAACTATCCTACTGTTAGCCCAGGGGCTCTCCCCAAGAAACCCGAGTGCAAACCCAGTGAGCGAACTGAGAGACACTTGGTTTGGTAAAGAATAAAGAACATTGCAGGCACCAGTCTTTTCAGAACTGGCTACACTGATGTTTTTTGTTCATGGCTTTGTATAACATGGCTGTGCGTCCCATCCAGTTCTTTCCTAGGGACACTTCATCACCAACAACTCTAGTTCCCGCAGAACAGTTGCTAAGGGTTGTAGCATCGGGAGCAAAATGGCATGGGGTAGCAAACTGTAAGGAAAGAGAGTGGCCCTGAGGTTTTGCTTATTCAAAGTGCCAGGGTTTGGGAAAAAAGTGCCTTTGGTCCCTTCCCCGTGTGTCTAATGACAAAGCCCTGGGAAGGATTTAGTTAAGAAGGGCCAAGACTCGGTCCAAAGGAGGCTCCTCAGATTATCTACCCTCTTGCACAGACGCAGTGCCCGCCGATCGGCCCGGCCCTGCCCAGCCCCTCAGGAAGAGCTGCTCACCATTGTGCTCGATCCACCGGTACTGCCGTTCTAGGCACAGTTCCTCCTGCCGCTGTCTCACCAGCCTCCGCGTCTCGGGGCTCAGGCCGTTGGGGTCTCGGGAAAACACGAAGGAGTAGCTGTCCGCACAGGTGCCGTCCAGATTCTGCAGGCGGCAGGAGTACTGTAGTGCGAAGGTGTCGTAGTCCGTATCGATGATCCAGTGGTCATCATCTGTAAGTCAGAGAGCCGAGGGGGCCCGGAGGCCTGACTCCGTGGAGGAACTGGCTGCCTTTCCCTAGTGAGTGGGGGCTGCAGAGATCCCTGACAGCTTTTGTACAGCTGGGCAAATGAGAAGGGATCTGGCTCTCCTTTACAGAAATGAGTCTTGGCACAGAGGGCACCTTGTTCATGTCAACGACTCCTTAATAACAGGTAGCACAACAGTTCTCTAAGCGACCACTGCAGATGAACTGCTGTCCTCCCTACCTACCCTCCAATAACACGTGTCTCTGTCTAATGGCTGACGGCCCTCAACTTATGTCATCCTCAACTACAGGTCACAACTTTTTCAATGCCCTGCAGAATCTACCTCCCACCATCCCACTTAGCCCAACTGTTCTCCTACTTCAGTGGGACAGAAGACGCCAATCGGATGATAATAGATTTTCATGCTCTACCCTTATTCACACTTAGGAACCCTATTCGCTTCCCCAGGTTGACAAGTGGGATGCCTGGTGGCGAAAGATGCTTATTATCCAGCTTCAAATACTCCTTTGTATTTTGGGGGGATGAGCAGCTGACTCAGTGGATAATAATGCTTGCTCTGCACGCATAAGGACCTGAGTTCCAGTTCCCAGAACCCATGTAAGAGGCCAGGCATGGCTGTGTGGGCCTGAAAACCCAGAGCGGGAGGCACAGACGGGCGGATCCTGAGAGGTCATCAGCAAGGAAGCCAACTGGCAGAAACAGCAAGCGTCTGGTCCGTGAAAGGAGTAAGACTGTCAGCAGGAGTTCTGGTACCTAATGCTCCGCTCTGGGCTCCACACGCACTCACATGTCTACAATGCAAGTGCACACACACTGGGAAGCAGGGAGAAACTGTTCTTTTCATGACGTCCCTGGCAGAGCAGATCATATTCATTCCTCAAGGGTGGGGTAGTGTAGAGGCAACATACAGTAAGTGATTTAAAAGGTCAACCAAGGCAGAACAGGAAATACGTTAGTAAGAATACTTATGTGTGAGAGGCACAGAGAAAGAACAGAGATTTGTTTATCAAAAACCCTATGTACAGGTAAGAGTGCTGCATTTCAGTTCAGCAGTCTTTCTGACTATTAACCAAGGCTGGAACCAGTTACTTCAAGGAAATTTCCGTATTTGGGGGGTTATTTCTTGCATTTACTCAAAGTCATACATCATAACTCCACATTACAGATGGGGAGACAGAGGCATGGAAAAAAGAAATAATTCCAGCGGGACCAGCATGCAGGGCAGGGTTGGTGTTCAGCAGGAGAGCACACTGCCAGAGTCTGCACACCTAACCTCCCCCAGTGTCTCCAGACACTGGGTAGATTGGGGGTGGAAGGGACAAGGACAAACGGGCATTTTATCTCTCACATCCGGGTCTTAAAGCAAGGCACCATCTGCCCATGTGGGAGGAAGGCAGAGAGGCCCAGATGTCCAAACATCACAGGGTATTATGAGGCCACTCAAGTCTCCACTGTAAGCCACCAGTGGGTGTGCCTCTCTAAGAACCCTTGAGATACCACCCTGGAAGCCGGCTCAGCCTGAACCCAGTCCCACAGGAGTACCGCACAGGAGAGGATGTGAAGCCCTCCTCTTCTGCTCCCCCTCCCAGATAAGAAGAGGAATAAGCACTCCTGTATCTTCCAGGCTTTCAGAGGCCTGGCTTGGAAGTGTTCCTGGCCCACAACTGATCTGCTAGGCAGTGACCATGAAGTTCCTCAGTAGATGGAGCATGAGCAGAAGCCACATGGTTGCTGCTGGGTCACCCCTTATCACAGGCTCCACCCTCCCCAGGCTCCTGAGCATCGGGGCAGAATCTCCCCATCTCTGGATGAAGTCATGGGATCAATGTGTCATGAAGGGCATCCAGGAGCCTGCCTCAGACACAA